TGACCACGAAGAGTCCGAATTTACTTTTTTTTGAGATCGATAATTGACGTACTATTGATCCACCCTGTATAATAGAAAAATGGAAAAACCTATTGATGACTGAATTGCTCAAATTTTAGAGATTTAAAAAGTGTAGATTCTGGCTGGCTGTCACTGTTGGAATTCTCTAAATTCAATATCCCACTTGACTCGCCCTGTATATTCGATGATAGTTTTCAGTTATAGATTATTTGATAAAGTTTCATAACGATATCAAATGTTATTTATAGCTATTGTATGCTATTATATAGAACCCGAACTCAAGCAATCGAGGTGGACGTATATATATACAGGGTGGTCCAGGTTAAACGTCATTAAATTTGATAGGCGACAAAAAAACGGGAAAGAAGTAGACTTTCATGATAAAACTTTGGTTGAAAATGCTTCCTAACAGAGATACAGGGTTTCAGAGTTTAGACACCTCGATTGAGTTCTCGGCGGCCGCGTTAAGTTTGGAATCATCAAAATCAACAGTGTAATGTGTACCTACTTCATTAACATTATTGAAAACCATACTAGTACAGCCTGTACAAAACCTCGAAAATTTTAGCCTTTTTGATGCAACCCTCTAAATTCGAATAAGTATCTTGAAAACGAAGCCATAAATCAAACATTTGCAAAGGTATTTTTATTCTCTAAATTGAACAAGAAATCCAAAAATGTAATCTTTTTGTAAAATATTTAGTGAAACCGAAGATTAGGTGAGGGAGAAGGATATGTCGACCCCCATTATCTACGCCACTGAAGAATTTCCTCGAATAACCTCAATCATTACTCAGAGATGAAATACATTAGTGTCTGTGCGAAATTTGATCAAAATCGGTCGAGTGGTTTGGAAGTAATGATGAGAAATCTAATTTCTGCCCACAAATTTGACACCCTGTATCTTTGATGGGAAGCATTTTTAACCAAAGTTTTTCCATGAGTCAACTTTTTTCCATTGTTTTATCGCTTATAAAATTTAATGACGTTCAACCTGGAACACCCTGTATATATGTAGCTCCCAGATTTTCTCGATTCTGTAGATATGGAAAGGTATAGACTTAGGTGTATTGTAATCTCTTGAAATTATCGGAATCGAAGAGAGTTGCTCAGATTTTAGATATTTGAAAAAGTGTAGATTCCGGCTGTAACTCTTGGAATTCTCAAAATTAATATCCCATTTGACTCACTCGCCCTGTATATTCGATAATGATTTCCAGTCAGAGATTATTTGATTTGGTTTCATAACGATATTAAATGTGATTTATAGCTATCATAATGCTATTATAGAACTAGAACTCAGGCAATACGAAGAGAACGTACTTATTATAGCCCCCTGTATATATTATGGAATATCCTAATGGCGACTGATGAGTTGATCAGATTCTGTCGATTCTGAAGATTTGAGAAGGTGTAGATCTCGGTGTAGATTTAGTTATCTCTTGAGTTCATCGGAATCTCGTCAACTCACCCTGTATATTTATGTCATGATTTGAAATTACAGATTATATCAATCATTGTAGGTATCAATGTTTTTGAATAAGATAACTGCCGTCAACGAACTCAAGCGATCAAAAAGGCGTACGCATATTGACCCACCCTATATCATAGAATAACCCATTGACAAACCATAATTATGTTATTCAGATTCTCGATATTTTGAAATTTAAAAAATGTTCGATCTACAATTTTACTCACTCTGTATATTCGATAAGTTCCAGCTATTTAGATATTTCAATTTATTTTTAATCTATGTTTAAAGTATACGTTTCAAAATCAAGTTTCAATTCATCTTGACCTACCCCGTAAAAAAACAATGAAGACTTCCTGAGATTTAAGTTTGTTCAGGTGCATGCCTATACACGCGCGTGAATAAAAATAACCATCGAAGGAACCATATCTACCTCATACACAGTTTAAGGAATGAGTATACAAGTTATTTTCCTACCTGTTAAGACCCTTTCATGTTGTGAGCCATAAATCATGATCCTTATCTTGATGCCACGCCCAAATACTATTATTCTTTCACAATTTTACTACGAGTCGATCGATAAAAGAGATAGAGCGCCATCTGACATTTGACGATAATACTAATGTGAATTTGGCGTACAATTTATGAGCGTTACCAATTTGTACAGGGATTGTCTTTCTATTGTTTGTTTAATCTATGCTATAAGTATCTCCAAAGACAGGAAATACCGGAAGAAGGACATCGCGATTTTATCCGATAGCCAAGCAGCCATCAAAGCGTTGAGCTCTCCTTACATCAACTCGAAGATGGTATGGGAATGCCTAAGCAAATTGAATGAGCTAGGCAGCGACAATAAAGTGATCCTCCTCTGGGTGCCAGGGCATATTGGAGTAGAGGGGAATGAACAAGCAGACACTCTGGCACGACAAGGGGCTTCAACACCACTGATCGGACCAGAGCCATTCTGCGGCCTTGGACATTCCTATTTCCAAGGAGAACTTGAGAAGGCGGAAGGAGCTTGGAGAGCCAGACAATGGAGAAGACTTCCAGGACTACGGCAGGCTAAAGATCTCCTTGGAAATTTCAACCGAGAAAGATCTAAGACACTGACAAACCTCAGCAAAGGAAGTCTCAAAGCAATAACGGGATTTCTAACGGGGCATTGCAGACTCAAAGAACACCTAAGGAAGCTAGGCTTACAGGAGGACGGCACCTGCAGATTCTGTGAGGAAGAACCAGAAACACCCCATCACATACTGATGGAGTGTGACGCTGTACATCACAAAAGATTGAACATACTGGGAACACACCAGCTGACTGTGGAAGAAATACCACAGCTGGACCCCCTCAAAATCCTCGAATTCCTGAAGGAATTGAATCTCGAGGGGCTGCTATAAACAAGAAATCCTTGATATAGCAGAAGCAGATGGGACACAATAGATCTAATTAGGTCGCAGCGCATCTGTCACCATCCAACCCACCAATACTAATACCAATACCAAGTATCTCCATATGTGTCTATTTTGTCATATTAAAATGTTGTTACACGGCTAAGTATCTAGACTGTCTGACGGGATATAACCGGGTCAGACAGATCAGACAATAATGTCCTTTGAAGTACTCTTCAATTCGCACGGCACAGTTTGACCCGTTCAATTGAATAATATGAAACAAAAACGTTCAAATGCATTTTCAATTTTGACCGGTCAGATAATTATTCTTATCTTCCAACTGGATTGCAGTAAATTAATTTTTCGTACATTTTTGTTGGATAGAAGTTGACAGGAAATAGTAGGATATTAGTTATTTAATATACAATGGAAAAAAGTAGTAGAAGTAATAGAAATTTTGAATGTAATTACTAAGCTCAAAATGGATTATTTTATCATTGATCATGTCCTCCAGATTTCATTTTACAGTATGGTGCAAATGGAAGGAATCAATTCAATTCTAGTCAAACTGCCTATTTATGAAAAATTCCCTGTAAGACGTCAATTTTTAATTTCAATTTTTCACATTTATAAGAGGTTGATTTTTATTTCTAATTTGATGCATTTATAAGGAATGATTCAATATACAGGGTGATTCACGTTTGATTTATGACGTCTGCGACAATTTTTTCAAACCGAACACCCTGATTTTTATTCAATTTTTTGGATCTCTATGAGAATCTGGATTCAAAATTATATCACACATAGGGTTTCTATATAGTGCGTAAATTGAATTCAGTGCTCTCGTAAAATGGGGTCGCACTGTATATGAAATCTATGTGTAATTCATTTTTGAATTCAGCTTTTCATGGAGATTCCGAAAATTAAATAATATATAGGGTGTTCTGTTTGAGAAAACAATCGCGGACGTCAGAATTCGAACGTGGAACACTCTGTATATATAATTATCATTAATAAATGTGGAAGATTGTTAATAAAATTCGACTTGTTTCAAGTGATTCCTCAGAAATTAATAGTTTTGCTATAAATTAATTTATTCACTATTCCTTGACAGCACTAAATTCAACGAACGCACTGTATACAAACCCTATTGTAATAATATATATGTTTGCATTCAGGTTTTCATGAGGATTCCAAAAATTTAATAATATATATGGTGTTCCACTCTATAAAATTGTCGTGTACATACGTCAAACTCAAAACGTGGATCGCCCTGTATTTTCAATTTTCCATTATAAATGTAGGGAAATGAAAATAAAAATCGACATGTCTGGAGAGACAATGGACAGTCTGGCTAGAAATGAATTTATTCCTTTCATTTGCACCATAGGCGACTGAATTTAAGATCACAACGCCAAAGTGGCCGGTTGTGGAACTATACGAGAGTACATTGTTTTGAAATGGTGCATTAGCTTCTTTGTATTATTTCGATTTTTTATAGTGATTTGAGCAAAGAAAACTGTTCATTTGTGTACTCTCGTGATTTGAGGGAGCTTTTCAGCATATATTCGTTCAAAAAAGTATGTTTCACTACTTAAAATACATGAGATTTGCAAAATAAAAATGCCCCAATTTGAGGTTACATTAGTTTGCATCTCATTCCCATTCAGTACGTAAAATAAATATTGCAAATCAAGTGGAGTGAATATGATGTTCACATAGTAGGTATTTGAGATGTATGTAATGTAGGCGATTCATACTGTAACTTTTCACTTCTAGGAATAAAATGCAACTGAATTCAATCCCCATAGAGATTATTATTTTCTGTGAAATACAGTGGAAAAACTTTCATGAATAACATGTGAAACGGAGCAATCATCTTTCAAGATACTCTACAGATGAGTTCAAACTCGAAAAATAGCACAATGACCACTAAACTTTCGATAAAATGCATAAAAACTTGAATGTAAACAAACATTAAAAAATGTTATTCCATTAGTTACTTAGATATCCGCAAGAGGGCATATCGCTTATTTTGAATCGCCTATACTGTATGTAACAGACATTAAAAAAAATGTGACTGAGTGAAAAAGTTCAACCTTCGAATTCACACTTACGTTTCTCCCTTGGAGCCGGAGCCGCTTTCCGCTCGTCCTTGCGATCGCCGTCTCTGTCCCTATTCGCCCGCCATGCATCCGAATTTCCCTCTCTGATCTCCCTCCTTATCATAGGAGGCCTACGCTCCTCGTCTGGCTTCCTAGTCATACGCCACGAACTGCCTCCGTCGTCCCCGCCCCTCCTATCATCCCCGCCTCTCCTATCGTCCCCGCCCCTTCTGTCGTCCCCGCCCCTTCTATCATCTCCCCCTCTTCTATCATCTCCGCCCCTTCTATCGTCTCCGCCCCTTCTATCGTCCCCGCCCCTTCTATCGTCTCCGCCCCTTCTATCGTCCCCGCCCCTTCTATCGTCTCCGCCCCTTCTATCGTCTCTGTCATCGCGGCGATCGTACGTTCTGTCTCTGTCTTCGCGACGGTCCCTCGAGAATCTGCCATCTCTGTCTCCGAATCTGTCGGATTTGCTGTCTCTATCGAAGGTGGCTTTGCGATCGTCATCGTTTCTGTCGTCCCTACGAGGTGCGTCATCTCTGCGAGGTCCGTCATCTCTGCGAGGTCCGTCGTCTCTGCGAGGTCCGTCGTCTCTGCGAGGTCCGTCGTCTCTGCGAGGTCCGTCATCTCTGCGAGGTCCCTCATCTCTGCGAGGTCCGTCGTCGCCTCTTCTCCATGCGGATGGTGAGGATTCTTCCGTGTTCTTGAAGCGAGCTGGAATTGAAATTGATTGAAATAATACGAGTATGGCCAGTTTCGTGCAAGAGAATTTACCGTTATTCCTCACTATTTACACTAACAAGATGAACCATCCTTATGAGAGCAATGAGCTGGAAATTCTATTCAGGTGAAGTACTTTTTGTTGTTAGCGAAGAGTAGAGATCGGTAATGCAGAATATATTTGAATTATATTTCTAGATGTATTTATGCAAGAAGGAATATAGAATCAGGGACGGTTTAGAATATTTTTATTCAGAAGCCTTCAGAATATCAAAGTTAGTGATTTTCCTGCTTCACAAACGATATTCAAACTTGCAGATATATCTACTCGGAGTTGATTCCGAGTGTAGACAAATCGGAAATTTGGCTTTTAGACTGTAATGTGGTACTCGACTCGTTTCGCCATTAGGCAGTAAATGTGTCAAGAACTGGAAATTACAGGATACATAAGACCAATTGAAGGGCTTAGTGTGAAACAATGACAAGCCTCAAAAGCGTGAAAATGAGATATTAGACTTTGAATGTTTAAAAAAATACATAAACTCCAACTTTGATGGTTTTAGTCTTATACAGGGTGTTCCTTAAAGACATGCTAATATTCAAGGGGGTGATTCTTCAACTCATTTCAAGAAATAAACTTTCCACTAACGTATGTCCTAAAAGTTTTAACTTTCGAGATGCAGGGTGATTAAGTTTTGAAAAAAAAATCAGTTTTTTAATAATAACTGGGACAATCTTGAATACATATTTATGAAATTTGGTACATATCTTCTATGCATCAAGGTGCATTTTTTGATGTATACAAATGTTCCTTTTCTCTACCAGTGGCGCTGCTAGGGGGATATGATTGCTTATATTATACTTCAAAGTGAGAAACGAAGGAATATTTCCAAATTCAATGAAATGCTATAAAAAGTCATTCAATTTTGTACAAAAAAGATCCATTTGTTGATACCCGATAGGACGCTACGTATTCGAAATTCTGACGTTCAAAAATTTTTTTTGAAAAATTCAAACAATTTTGAATGAAAAAGCGCGGGACGACTATGGTGTATCTAAACATCCGAAAACCCTAACCGTTGTCATTTCTGTGTCCGAACTCTTATCCAACTCCAGTGACTCTAATCAATTCTAGAGAAGTTTGGTACATGAATTGAGAATTTAATGTTGTTAACTTACGTCTCCAGGCTTCTGTCGCCTTCTTCGGCTCCTCATTAGCGTTCCTCCAAGAGCTCGTCTCTCTCTTGGGCCCATCCTTATCCGCGCCTCCCCTTCTCCACGCGTCCTTCTCCTTCTCCCCTCTGTTGCTCTCCCTATCCTCCGCCAGCTTCCGCTCGATCTCCTCCGTCCTCGCCCTTTGCTTGGCCGCTACTCTCTCCAACATCTCCTCGTTCTCCTTTTTCTGCCTCTCCAGCTGTTCTCTTTCGATTCGCTCTTGCTCCTCGCGCTCCCTCCTCGCTTGCTCTTCGAGGCGCTGTCGCTCCTCCTCCTCTCTGCGGCGTTGCTCTTCCGCTTTGCGGGCCGCTTCTTCTTCTTTCTCCTTCGAATCAGAACAGAAAGTTTTATTCAGAGAATCAGTATCTGTTGTCATCATGGCAACATCCATACACGCCTGGCTAAAATAATTATCCCATTGGGAAACCGTGTGCATTCTGTGCATGGGCATTTTAATAATAATAACATTCATTGATCCCAAGAAACATACAATGTTTATAGAGAGAAACAAAACAATATAATGAATAAATCAAATAGTGTAGTAACACTGGATTCCAAGCCGTATTTACACATAAAAAAGAAATCCATTGAGGGTTGAAACTATCGAATTGTTAGATATAACATTAAATTGAAAGCTCACTTGGAAAGCACATACAGGGTGTTCGAATTGCTCGATAGATACGCCCCTGGAAATTGTGGATAAAATCTAATTGGTCCAGTAAATATCTGATGATCATGTGAAAGAACCATTGGAATTTCATTCGAATCGACACAAGCGTTTGCAAGATATTGATAAAAAACTATTTTTTTTTTTTCTGAAACTTGGACACCCTCCTGAACACAAAGCATTTACGGACCCATGATCATATGAAATTTTTTTCATACATTGCTGAGAGGAATCTCGACGACGCCAAGGTGTCTTCTTCTATTTTTTATTCATCTTTCATTAGTTTTTTTATTCGTTAGCTATTTGGTAGCAATATTCATCATTATCAGCTACATTCAGACTTGATTCAGAATGTCGATCGCCATTCTGTACAGAGTACCAAAAAAAACTGAGGAGTTTCGATCTTATTTTATGAAAATTCATCTGAAAGAAACTTCCCCATAATAAATTATTGTCTTATTTGTATATATATTGTAGAAATATCCATTATCTTATAGTTTGTTATTGTCCTTTTGCTTGTCCTCGTTTTTTTCACTCAAACTGATTAGTCTGATAGGACTGTGCATTGTACAAAAACATTGTTATATTATGTGTAATAGCTGGGGAGACAGTGACATTTTTTTGGCACATTTGATTCATCATTTTCATTTTCATTTCCATTACAAATTCAAGAATTTTGAAATATTGAAGAAAATCTGAAAATAAAATTATTCTTCTGTGCCCTCTAACGGCCTAGCGGTGCATATTCGTATAGAGGTGAGTTCACCCTGTAGAATTTATGGTATGTTGTTCTGGTGCACTTTTTTTTCCCCCTCATTAGGTCCATGGCAGGAGTAAATCGTTCCATGAAATAGGTTGCAGGAGGTGATTTTTTTATAACTAGTATTTCATGGGTCAATGTCAGTTTACCGAAAGTTTATTCGTCGAAAGTCAATTGGTCGAATACGTCAATTGGCCGAATACGTAAGTGTGACTAAATTGGGTCAAATCATCGAATTTCATATGTTATAAGATATTTCGGATGTCTTTTCGAAGTCCGTTTAGTTCTTCTTTCAGAAGCCCCTAGAGATTTATACTAATTCAAAGATACGTATATACAGATAGGTCATCTATGAGAAGTTGACGTAAAAACCAATTTCAGCCATTGATGTTCGGAATGTAACGAGTTAAGAATGATCTGCCTAGATCGGATAATGCTTCAGAAGCATAGCATAGTCATTTAGTCATCCTTCAATATGGAATAACATATTGAATGGTATAAGAGAAGAACAATATTTTGAACGTGAAATGAAACAGACGATGGCTGGAATGAAGAGAAACGTATGAAAATTTATGTCGATCTGGCCAAAAGAGTAAATATAAATATGTCGTAGATCATCTTGGAAATCTGTCGATTACTGAGAAGTATTGTTCATAATTTCAAATAATGTATCATCAATTATTAATTGAAAAGAATATGTATTGAATCGTTGAATGATTGAAACATACATTAATATTATTATTATTAAGGAAGCAGACCTATTCATCAATTTTCAAATATTTCTCATAATCTTATAGAAATTGCATCAGTTTGAAGCTAGTGATATAGTTTTTGATTATTCTTGTTTCTTCAGCGATGGAATAAGAATTGAGACTCAACAGTGACAGGAGAAATAGAAACTCAAATAACTGTCTTTGGTTGTTCATGATTAGTGTTGAAAATATAGATTCACAAAAAAATCGGCCAATTTAGTCCAACTGACGTATTCGTCCAATTGGCGTTTTCGGCCAATTGACTTTCGACGAATAAACTTTCGGTCAACTGACATCGAGCCATATGTCATTAAACGATTGGTAAAGTTTAAGATATTATCATGTTTGGCATATACTCGTTTTTTTCAAATAAAATTGATGAGCTGCTGATAAGCGTTGTCCCGCGATAGAGGTGGCAAAAGTGGATTTTGTTGATAGGCTATATTATTACAACAGATAAAAAAATGAGCCGAGCTTTACCAAATAAGACATTGGGTTGTAATCTAGACTAATATTATAAAGAGGAAAAAACTTGGTGGGGGGGAGGTAGCTTAGAACCAGGAGAAGGTTATAGGATACTTTTTATCCCGGTATCATTAGGAAATTCAAGATGGCGGATCTTATATATCGGACGAGTTGTTGTTTTCGTGATCGGGGATTATGATTCCTTCGTCAAAATTAAGAAATTCAAGATAACGGATCCAAAATAGCATGTTCTGTAATTACGATCCAATTTTTTTCAAATTTGGTATCTGGTGGTTCTCGGGGTCGGAGGTTATGATTTTTTCGTCAGAATTAGGAAATTCAAGAAAGCGGACCCAATATGGCGGACGAGTATTGTAATTATGATCAGACTCTCTTCAAAATTGTTACCTGGTCGTTTTCGGGGTCGGGATTCTTTTGTCATTTTGGAAAGGGCGGGATTTGGAAATTGAAGACGGTGGAACCAATATACCCGACGAGTTTTGTAATTATATACCGATTCTATTCAAAATTTGTAAGTGGGCGTTTTCGAGATAAAAAATTATGATTCCCTAGTCAGAATTAGGGAATTCAAGATGGTCGATCCAATATTGCGGACGAGTTTTGTAGTTATGTTCCAATTCTATTAACAATTTTCATCTGGGGTTTTAGGAGTCAGATATGATTCTTTCGTCAAAATTGGGAAATTCAAGTGAACTAAGCTTCACATAGGTGTAATATAGTATCTTAAAAAATTTATCATTTCTGAACGAAATAGTTTTTTTTTTCAACTTTTGATTCATATTCAAATTGATTTTTGCTCACCAATATGAAATGATTTGTCAAAATTTAATAATTAATGTTTTCAAATATTTTATTATTCATTAGTTTATTATAATTGTATAGTTTTAGGTATTATTGTTAACTATACTTCCTCATACCAGAACTTGATTCTGACTGGAAGTAACATTTTCAATAAATAAATAAATAAAAAATAAATAAATAAAACATGATATCAAGAACATAATAACAAAAACAATTCCAAAACAAAATATCAAAAACATAAATGGAGATTCTTGTAGATGTTTTTCTATTTTTTTTTAATTCATTCCAATAACTCTGAAATTTTCAAGGAGATGCAGTTTCAACTCAGCCATTACAACAACAATCATAAATGGTACTGGTGGGGGACGTTTCCACGTCAGCAACTAGTCCCCAATGGGACCTTTTTGCAAACCCCAAGTGTTTTCAATGACTGATGTGGTTCGCTCAAGAGAGCTGGCTAACATCCTTTTCAGGCACCGCCCATCAGCTCTCTTTTCAGAGTTTTTCAGCTGTGTTTTGTAGGCTAGTAATGTACTCACTACCATATGCGCAGTGGCAGGCGTGCTAACTATCATCGTTAACCCCCGAGACCGAGGTCTACTTAAGCAGCTGGCCCGCTCTCAAGCTCAGCTGGTAGTTTTCCACACCCACCTACATACACCGTCCTACTTCTCTGATGCTCACAACCACATCATCATATCTTTCTGCGTGTTTTGTGTAGGCCTAGTTACTAACTCCATGCGCCACTTTAGCAGCAGCACTGTTAATTGGAACGCAACAGCGAATCGTGCAGGACTATCCCCAGCCGATGCTCCGAAACTTTACAATATTTAATTCGTAAATAAAATATTGAAAAAAGTTCCTTGCCCGTGCTGGGAATCGAACCCACGACCTTGCTGTCGTGAGACGGACGCTCTTCCACTGCGCCAATCCCGACTTAACAATCATAAATAATTACATGTAATGGGTGATGAGCTACATCAGCATATATATAATAAATTATCAAAACATAAATGAGGATAATAAACATGGATGAATAATTTTCTTCATCACTATCACCAACGTTACCTTGAGGTACTGCGCCCGCCTCTCCTCCTTCCTCCTCGCCCTTCTCTCCACCAGCCGCCTCCTCTTCTCCTCCGCCAGCATTGTATCGAACTCCCTCAACTTGTCCTCGTACACATCGTTCCGCTCCCGCTTCAACCTGGCCAGGAAGGCGTCCTTGTCGGCGCGCATGTGCGCGAGTCGATCGCGCGCCGCCACCGCCAGACGGCGCTCCTCCACCGCCGCCGCGATGCGCTCCTTCTCCTGCTGCTCCCAGAACGTCTGGTCGAGCAGCTGGCGCTCCTTCATGTTCGCCTATGAATTAGAAAAGAATTTGTTCAGTGTAGTGATTTGAGAAACTAAAGACAAAAATCCATCATGAAATGTAGATTCAAAAATAAGCATTAGAAAGAGGACAACAAATAGTTCACTACAATAAATCAAACGATTTTTTGGTCTGCTGGACGGCTCACTTGATTTTCCAAAACACCAATAAATTGAAACAATTAATTATATTTGTGAATTCACGACATGCCGACAACGAACGATGTATGGGACATTTATATAGACTTTTTGACAAAAAGACATTGCAAACTGGTCATTCCGATTCAGTGTTAAATAACTTACATATTATCTTTTGCGGAAATATGAATTGCAGCAATCAATTGTATGCAATTAAAAATAATTGGGAACTGTTCAGCGCCTCTTCCAGAAGTTAGTTCTTTGCCTATTGGCGCTCCACGGTTGTCATATGTTTATCATGGTCAGGTTGTCAAACAATTCACGAATTAAATCACTGATTTATTTAAAATAAATGAATTCATGCCAACCCTGCTAAGGATGCACCGAAGCTTCGGTTTTGATTCAGTATTCGGCCAATCCGGTCAATTTTCGAATATTTGGTATGAGTACTCTTTGACTAAATCATTTTCAAGTAAAACATCAATAACAGTGAAACCCCAACCCTACCTGCAGAAGGGGAATCTCCTCGAGGCGTTTGGCCCTCTCTCAAAGTTGCTCGGTTAGATGGTAAATTTCACATAATATACTATGTTCAAGTGGAACATCAATAACAGTGAAATCCTAACCCTACCTGCAGAAGGGGAATCTCCTCGAGGCGGTTGTCCCTCGAGGCGTTTGACGCTCTCTTAAAGTTGCTGGGTTTGATGGTAAATTTCACATAATATATCATTTTCAAGTGGAACATCAATAACAGTGAAATCCCAACCCTACCTGCAGAAGGGGAATCTCCTCGAGGCGTTTGGCCCTCTCGAAGTAGTCCACCTTCTTCTCCTGCGACTTGAGCTTCGCCTGCAGCTCTCGACGTTCTTTCTGCAGTTCTTCGGCTTCCTTGGCGGCGATCTGATCGGCATCCAGTTTCTTGATGTCCTGAAACAACGAGGAACATGACCACTATCAGTTGTTATCTATTCCTGATACAAAAAAAAATGAATTCTAGAACGGACATGTGTTCTGGATCTTCGTATTTATCATCATCAAGGTGGATAGAATATGGTGTAATTTTCTCCCAAAACGCTTGACCGCAGATTCCGCAATAATGGCATATTATTTCTCAGTTGTCCGCAAGATGGCGACACTTTTTACAGATTTCTTTCATGACAGAAAACAGAAAATGGCGCTCACACACCGCTTGCACCAGAAATAATAATAGCATAACATGACCTCAAATCACATGAGATTAAATTAGAAAGAACGAAACTGTAATGTTGGGGAATTTTAATTATCATTAGTTCTACCAACCTTGAATTTTGGTTGAGATTTCGCCATCTAACGGGTAAAATGGGACCTATATTGAAAAGAATCCTTCTGTTAAATAGACCGTGGGTCAGAAACTGACCGAAAAACAGTAGATGGGATTTGATAGGAGTTCCTACACCATCTCCTGATCATACTGATCATCATATATCAACAATTTTTTTATGTATTTTGGACAATCAAGAGTCTAGATCGCATACAAAATGCCAGTTTTGTGAATAAACGACACTATTAAATCGGTAAGAGGGCTTGAGATAGGACGCCATTGAAAAATCAAAATTTGGGGCAAGACTCCTTTTTCCACACAAACTTTCAAATGAGGAAGTTGTCATAAAATTATTATTCAACTACCTAGTATTAGGTTTTCTGAGAATGGCTATTCAGATTATTTGAATTTTCGAAATACAGCATGAAGGCTAACATGTTCAGTCTCACCACTTGGCGTTACTAAAACGTGAGGTCAATGTCAAAGTCAAAAATCCCAAAATTTTGCCAGATACCCCTAGACTTACTTTTTTTTTACTGTCAATTCATTCATTAACGGAGAAGAAGATATCGTAGGAAGAGGCCAAATAACACAAAAAGAAGTATATTTATCAGTTCTACCAACTCAAATAATGTTAGCCCTTATTCAATCCAATGACCTGTCAAACTATGCGCTGGTTGACACAATGAAATTATTTATGTGTTATACGCGAATTCCTGTTGGTATCAGAAGTACAAGTCATATAATCAAAGAAAATCACAAACAAGCACAGCAACAAAAATGTAAACAAAATACATCTCAGTATGGTGTAAATCAGGTATTCAACCACTGTTGCCAAACTTAAGTTACCAATTTCTTGGAGAAATTGAAATATCTCAAAAACGAGCTGTCAGCATATTTTGTATATACCCATAATTTTATGTCTCATGATATCAGATTTTTTTAATTCTTAATTAATGAGAAATTCCATCCCAAAAATTGAACAAAATGCGAGAAAAGAATCAAGTACGCCACAATTTAAATGATTGAACTCCACGTGATTGTGCCTACCGCATGGAAATTTGAACACGGATGACGTCAGATTTGCTACAGTGTAGATCTTTGGGTGGAAAAAGGGGTCTAGCCATAGTGGAAGGAGAAGATGGTGTGCCTACACGCATATTATGTGACGTCATCTGGGATACCAATATCACCTGCTAGTCACAGACAGATACCGTTGCCATGGGCGTGCGCAATGAATTCAATCATGTTCATTGAAATTTCTATAAGTTTCTCGATCTGTTTAGAAATAATTCAATTTATATAAACAGGTAACAATTCCTTCGATTTTACTATTTCATGGATTCTGGAAATTGTGATCTTGAGGTCATTGGCAATCGCACATAGCAAATACATACGAATTATCATGCATTGCCAATCCCATCTGAATGATCCACTACTGTGTCGATTCTGACAGATTAAAATTCAGCAGTTAACGACGTTGACGTTGCTTCTGCAGCTTCTGCTCCGACAAGTCCGATATCGACAACAGGAGTATAAATTTTTGCCGTTTTGTTATTCAAATCTTTGCTGCAATTTATATTTTGTGAAAAATTAAGAGTTTTGAATTCATTTTCAATTACTTCTGACTTGATATTCGGAAGATGTTCTGTAGGAATGGCATCTTGTTTCAAATATTTGTGATCTTTTGGAGGTGTGTAATTCAAGAACCGTACTTTCGCACTTGTTTGGGAACATTTTGCATGGAAATGTTTTGAAGAAATACGCGCTGTAATATGAATGTGATGATAATATGATAGGTGAATACTTTGGAACGAGGATATAAGGAATAGAAGGTAGGTACCATAATTTGAGTTTATATTCTGTCGGCCAGCAAGCTCCCATCGTTTCATTAGGTCTCCATTCTTGGAAAAGCATCAGAAAAATTCAATATCTGTGCCTTTTGTATGTTAGTTGGAATTTCCATAACCAGAAACGAAACAAGTAGGCATTTCGAAATTATTTCATTCAATTTTAGTACTTATATAATATGTGAACTTCGAGACATCAATCACGAAATCAAACAATAACAATGACAGTTATATCCCAGCTGACGTCATGCGCAGAACAAGACAAGTTTGAGCTTTCTGTTGAGCACACCATCTTCTCCTTTCACTATGGGTCTAGCCTCAAATTTTATTTTGATCCCTAAATTATTTCAATAAGTGCCATTCGATAGAACACATGGAGCTTTCTCAGTGTTTGAAATATTTGCACTTATTTCAATGCCACCCTGTAAAACTTTAAAAAATAATCCAATTTCCACCGGCGCACCTGCTAAATGGAAAGTTAAGGATTATCATCCACAAGTTCAATTAAATAAATATTCTTCAATAAGTATGATTAAAACAGATATTCATAAGTATGATTAAAACAGATATTCATAAGTATGATTAAAACAGATATTTCACAATGAACAGAAAGTGACAAAATTTTAATCAGAATAGCATTTCACGAACTTCCAGTTACCGCCATCTATTGATCAATTTAAATCAGAGTGTCTGAACTACCCACAAATTCTGTCGCTAGCATTCATTCACTCGGGTTGCCGGTTCTGATATTTCAAGAAACAAAATGTGAACTTCGAGTTGATGTTCATTCATGTAATAAATGTCACCAACTAGGTAACTAATCTAGGTTTTACTCGCACTGGTTTATAAATTTAGAAGTTCTATCCAACAGAATTATTCTGGTAATATTCATAAATTAAAATCAAGAAAACACAAACAAAAAACAGTTTACAGTCTCGCATTAACCGCATAATTTAAAGATGAACAAATTTTCTAGTTCCGCCAGGAAAGCCGCGACACGCTGCCGAAAATATTTCATTTCAGCACACGTTTTTCGGATGTCGCCGAGTTGATTTTTTCAAGTGAAAATCTAGACGAGTATTATTGTGCGAATAGAGGAAAATGATGAAAATATGTGAATTAATTGATCGAAAATATTTCATGTCAACACACGTTTTTCGGATGTCGCCGAGCTGATTTTTTCAAGTGAAAATCTAGTATTATTGTGCGAATAGAGGAGAATGATGAAAATATGTGAATTAATTAATCGACAAAATCAGTTTTTATTATTAAAACGAAAAAAGTCATGATTTTTTTTGTAAATCTATAAGATAGTGTTGCTTCTTTTCAAGAAGATGCTTTTATAAAATAGAGTTGGTACAATATTGAAATAATTTTGTTGTTAGATTTTTAGGCTGCCGATAATTAGCTAGTGGAAAATTATTTCAAATGTACTTATTATATGATATAAAAAAAACAACTTGCATACATTTACGGAATAAAATCATATAATTTATTAATGAACTTACATCTTCATCTAGTTTCTTCAGGATTTTCTGCCCATGCCCAGTTAGACTGATCTGCTGTAATTTCTCCTTCAAGTGTCTATCTTTGATTTGTTGTATTTCATTTTGGTGGCGCTTTCGTTCTCTCTCTTCACGTTCTTGTTCCAAACGTTTCTGTTCAGCTGCCACTTGTAATTTATGAATTTCGTCTATCCTAGAAATAGCGAAAAAAACAGTGTTGTGTCTTCAATAAAACTGAGACAACACAAACCTCTTTTGTTCCTCTTCTTCTCTGACAGTGTTCAATCTCTCAATGTATTCTTTTCTATCTTCAATTATCTTGTGTCTTTGGAGTACCTTGTGGTGCTCTCTCTCCTTTGTTTCATGGTAGTTTTGAACCATTGAAGTTCTCATTTTCTCCCGTTCCAACTAAAACATGTTCATGATTATTCAGTATCTACAGAGAATTTTCGACTTTTGAAGATTTGGTTTACAACTTACAAGTAGCAATATACAAATTTTACAAAATTTTATATGCTCTTGTGAGAATTCAAAGGAAAATTAGCTACATAATTTACATTATCATTGAAATGAAATTGCTGAAAAATGATTCACTGAAATGAAGTAAATATGGTTAATAGTTGATAATAATAATATCATTAGTGTTGAGAATGGAAATATTGGAAATTTCCGAAGGTGTCTCGGAAATATTGTGAAAATTGGGAATATTGGAAATATTTGAAAAAATATTTAAATCTTTCCACAAACGATTCATATCCGATGTATATTAATATATAAGTCAATTTTTAGTAGTAGTAGTAGTAGTAGTTTATTCTGTGTTATAAAATACAATACAATTCACTACCAAATAACTTGAAGCTGATTAATAGGATTGAAAAATTTAATAGAGAATTCAAGAAACATCTACTCCTGTAATATTGACAATATTGACATCTTATCTCATTTTTATAGTTTTCTTGTACAACTACTATAGTTTTCAATTGTGTACCTAACAGCTGAGTCAATTGAGGATCATTTTCATTTGAACTTGAAAAAAAAAAGATTCTTTTTGAGTGTGAGTCTTATTTTACTTTGTCAAATATATTTATGTATTCACTATGTTCCCTGCTATAAACAAATATTGTTTCTTGGGAATAATAAAGTTGATTGATTGATTGATTGATTGATTTATATACATTCGTCAGGCAATATAAAATAAAATAAAGAATATCCGATACTACTGAAGATTTTGAGGTAGTAGACAGGCAAGATGTTATTGAGTATGATGGACAAGGATGAAGATGACACCGATGAAGATATGCCCCTTAATCTACTAGTTTATCAAAAATTGGATTGTTTTAACAAGTTTTTCATTTATTTTTATTTAATTTTTTTTAGGATTAACTTTATTTGTGTTCTTGTGTAAGCATTCAATTATAATTATAAAACACCTATTTCCAATATTCCCATGTATTTCCATATATTTCCAATGTTTCAGGAAATATTTCCGGAAGAATTTTCGAAAATATATTTCCGAAAATTTTACAATAATTGAATATCTTTACAATCAACAAATTATGGTTCATTCAAATTTCAATCCTGAGAAATTTTTGTAATCATCTGCATAAATAATAAATAAATAGAAAATGGAGAATAATTAAATAAAATTTTCAATAATTTGAACGACAATGTTTTAGTGAAATTTGGTTTGCCTTTGAATAGCGCCATTATTACCTTTTTCCTATTGGGATTGATGACGCTGATAGCCCGATTGAGCACAGTAGACATATTCACCAGCTGATTCCTCACTTGCTCGCTGGGCATAACCTGCAAAGTGGGCCCTTCAGGTTTATCCTCTCTCTGGCTCTCGCTCAGATCCATTCCGAAGTGTATGCACTGCTTGCCATGATCGATCCGTATCTGCATATCGTTGTGACGCACGCAATCCACCAGCAGTCTCTCCAAATGGAAAGAAGTGGTGAATCTGGCGATCTGGATCAACCTGGCGAATTCGATCGTCTGGTAAACCTGAGCTATCTGACGCACTAAACGCACGAGGGTGACGTCCTGCAGGGCAGGGATGTACTGCTGGAGGGCGGAATTCTCTTCCAGTTCCAGAGATATAATCACCTCGTGGACTTTGGTGCAGAGGAGAAGTGGGTGGAATTCGACCTCGAGCCAGTTGTAGAGATCTTGGAGTTGGGGGCTGGCTAGGTTTACTACATTAGTTCTCGCCTAAAATTATTGTTATATACATTTGAATAAACAGTTTCTTTGGATTTAAGAAAAAAATCATATGCTGATTTATTGAGAATTCGGGAAATTTTGAAAGTTATTTGAATATGAAATAATATAAATTACTGGCTGTCCGGCCCGCGATACTAACAAGGCCTGAAGGCTCGTAGGGAACAGCTCGTGACGTCAGCTTACTGAAGCCACGTGTCGACTGTCGTCAGTTTGTTTAGGTATGTTCGAGAAGCGGTCGGGTGCCCGAATTCTTTTGTTGTTTATTCATCAAAATAATTGGCGGAAAAATTAATGTTTTGTGAAATATTTTGTGTTGTGATAGGCGAAATAACAATGCCTTTCAAGTGTTGTGTTCCCTTTTGTCGGGGGAATTATTTGGATGGTCCAAAAGTTCATGCTTTTAGTTTCCCGTTGGACAAGGAACTATCGAAAAAGTGGGTATATGCAATTCACCGCGAGGATTTTACTCCATCTAAGTACAGTAGAGTATGTGAATTACATTTTAATAAAGATGCTATTATTACTTCATCTACTGCAACCGATACGAAAACTGGCAAAACTATAACAATAGATTTGAAAATTCCTAGGCTCAAACGAAATGTTATTCCTACTCGATTTCCTAACTGTCCATCTTATTTATCGAAAGATGTAAACTTACGCACATGTTGTGATGAAAAACTTGAGATACTAGAGACTGAACATTTGGCAAAAGCACTTACCAAAAGTAAAACTGAATTCGAAAATTATCACTAAAAATCATTTTGCTACACAGATTTCAAGAATTTTCAAGTTGCCTGAAAAGTGGTTCAAAATTATCGATTTGCATTAAATGATAGATTGGTTAGAAACTTGCAAATCTGCAAATTCTACTAATAAACTAACAAACCAAACACATACTGCTTTGATTCACACTATATATGGAATGACAGAAGTTATACAATATTGTTTAAATGAACTCAAGATGAATTATGTTTTACTAAGAAAATTTCAAACAGATTATATGGAACATAGGTTCGGGAAATGTTGACGTACGTTACGCCGGCACGACCACTTCAACAAATTCCAAAAATGTTTGTACCAGGATTTAGTGCCTTTTAGTTGCTAATTTGTTCCACTTTCCAAAATTTTTTTGTTTATGCAGATATTCGCGATAGAAAATAACACGTCGCCCCACTTGACGGCAGCAACTTGAACACTTCTGAGCGGTTTGTTTTGATGATATGACCAATAAGCACAAACAAAAACAAATGTGAACCAATGAAAACAAAGTAAACATGCCACTTTGACAGCTTTCAACAACTCCGATAGGTGGCGTATGCTTATTTTCTATCACGAATAGCAAAAATTGAGTCCATGCCAGCTTCACGAGAAGTTGGCACGGCAACTTTTTCATTTCAAGACCGAATTGGGAAATAAATATACCAAATTGTAGTGCTAATTCATTGCTAATTTGTTCCCCCATTCGAATTTTCGCATTTATCTTCATTACAGAAAAAAATTATCCCATGCCAGCTTCACGAGAAGGTGGCACAGCAACTTTTGCATTTTAACACCGAATATCACAAAAACAAATTATTTCATAATTCGATAGAACTCACCCAGACTAGCTAACCACCGCAAACCGTTTCTTGCTGTGAGCTCCCTACGTTTTATAAAAAAATTTTGAAATCCCCGATTTTTCGGACCTCAGAAAACAAGGCGATGATGTGACGTCAAAACCCTAATACTGAAACAAGACTATTCCAGACAGATGAATGATACATGATTTCTGACAGAGTGAATTAGCGCGAGATCACAGTTGAAAGAATTAATATATCAGTTGCCTCAGTCTCCGTCGGGCGTTTGGTATTTTCTTTTAACTATGGCGAGATGAGGTTTCTACGTCATAAGAGGGTCCGTTTTCAGAAGGTACTATCATTTATGTCCAAAAATAAAATATTCCAGTTAATTTCTCGATCGAATTATGTCGTCAATCATTATTTATGTATAAAAGGATCATTATAAACATGGTTTGAGTTTAAAGTTCTACTAAGGTGTACACGCCCATTGTAGTGCTAATTCGTTGCTAATTTGTTCCCCTATTCAAATTTCCGCAATTATCTTCATTACAGAAAAAATTGATTCCATGCCAGCTTCACGATAAGATGACACAGCAACGTTTTTATTATGTGAACACATTGTAAAACTATCATACCAAAACGTAGCACTAATTTGTGGCTAATTTGTTCCCACTTTCAAATTTTTCCATTTCTCTTCATCACAGAAAACAGTTGTTTCATCCAGCTGCACCATCATAAGGCTGGCATAGCAACCGTCTCTATATGATATGTTGAATTGAAAATGATCATACCAGAATGTTCGTTGTCGGATTATGGTGTTCCTGGTTTAATATTTCTGTTGCTCGTATTTTTTAGGAAGTAATGATGAAAGAAGATCCTATGCTAGACTAATTTTACGATAACACCGTTATCTGACATGAAAACTCAAAAAGGATCATGCCAAAATTTGTTGCTTTCTTGTTGTTAATATGTTCTCCTATGAGAATTTTCGTTGCTAATTTTTTTTGTAGATCTCAAAAACCTACCTGTGCCAACCCTCAGTCCGAGGGAAATCCACGGCACAGCGATTTATTTGCTCCTATTATTCTGGACATACTTCTGTCATGTGATGTCTCTTTTGCGAATATCCAAACGTGCCGTGAATCGAACCGATCTAAGTTAGTGGCAGAGCGTCAATATTTCCGTGAATATTTCGCCCTCCTCTGAAGATAATATCTGATGGACCAATGTGAAACTCATGTGGTGCTCACACTACAAGTATTCTAATCCACATGTTGAATTTTACACTGGTCCATCGGATATTATCTTTAGTGGGGGCGAAATATTCTGGGAAATATTGACGCTCTACAACTAACTTAGATCACCTAGGGAAAAAGCCAAATACTCAAAGTGGAATGCAATGGTCACAAAGAGAGAGAAACTCAGTCATTACCACATACTAGTTCATAAAATGAACGAAAATGGTAGATAACGAGAGAAAAACAACTACTTTCCTGGCTATATGCCACGCAGAACATTGGATTACATCCTCCCGAAATCTATGCGATAGTTCGTATAAACGAATAAAATCGCAAGTGTTTCCTTCCTAAACGCTGAGCTGCGCTTAAGTGGTTCAGGAACGCTGACTACCTGCAGACCGGTTTCGAGCTGTTGGCTCTCATCAGTACAGGGCTGTCCCAGATAGCTTCTTGACCGCTATCTGGTGCGAACCTGACCCAACGTAAACGCATCTCAGCATTTATACTATGCGAGGCGTTCAAAGTCCGCGAAATGAAAACCGGCTGCAGGTAGTCAGCGTTCCTGAACCACTTAAGCGCAGCTCAGCGTTTAGGAAGGACACACTTGCGATTTTATTCGTTTACACGAACTATCGCATAGATTTCGGGAGGATGTAATCCAATGTTCTGCGTGGTATATAGCCAGGAAAGTAGTTATTTTCTCTCGTTATCTACCATTTTCGTTAATTTTATGAACTAGTATGTGGTAATTTAGATCAGTTTGAATCGCGGCACGTTTGGAAATTCGCAAAGGCAACATCATCTCCTTTCATTTGCTTATTGTTTCAACTCATTATCACATGACGGAAGTATGTCCGGAATAATAGCAGCCAATTAATCGCTATGCCGTGGATTTGGCTCAGACTGAGGGGTGGCAAAGGTAGGTGTTTGAAATCTACTATTCAATTGGTGTCGGATGGCATAATTCGTATCTTGTTATCAAATCGCACAATCAAGTGAAAATTCCCGCAGAGGAAAGTGCAATTTTTCAATAATTTTGGTCAGGATAGTAAATGGCACAGGTGCCGTTCGATAAACTACAATGCTTTTACATGCCTTCGGGACTACAATGTTTTTACTTTGGAACATTTATCATTTCGTTATCAGATGACGGTCGGAATTTGCAGCCGGCTCTTGAACTATGACGTGTATATGCGAGAATTTCAACTTGAACCAGGCGATACGTCGAGAGACTGCAACAGCGTTGCCACAGCTCGCTCGATTGAGCGAGATCTCGCTCGTTTTCTCACTAGTTCACTCTCTCGCTCCTCTTTGTCAAATCTCGCTTGTTTTCAACTCAGCTAGTAGGCCACAAAGATTAGACGTAATGTAGAACAACGGAGTTGATATGTTTTTCACAGTTCAGCAATATTAGCGTCGATGGCCTTAACGCAAGCGATACAGTCAATGTTTCTACAAATAATGATGGAAATTAGTAGATGGTGCGCGTATCCAGCCATTTTTACGTATTGAAAACTTGAGAAAAATCACTCGAACGCTTACATCATTTCTCTACGTCACATCGATCGAGACGTTAAATTTACTTTTTTTCGCTAGATGGTGATGCTGCTATTGCTGCTGTGACGAGTGTCTCTAGTGAAAATAAAATGGCAAATAGCAAGTACGCGGAATATATGTAGAAGAATGGGTTTATTGCACTCGAAATTCAAAAAATCAGAGGCAACTCCAAAATTGACAAATGTCATAATTGTTCAAGGGCGCCATCTATTAAAAGATCACCGAGAAGAATTTTTGAAACAAAAGCGCATCAGTTACTTATTTCCATCATTCTTCAAAAGAAACATCCGACCGGATAGCTTTGGAAACTAAGGTCCCTTCAAAGATCATAATTAGGATGCTTAGGGTCGGTTGCATGAGTCTCTTTGTTAACTCAACAAGAAATCAAATTTCATAACTATTCAATCAGATGAGGCATATTGCTTTGTCAAACTTTCAAAGATATATAAGAAAACGTGAAATAAATTTAAATTTTTATTTTATTTATTTATGTACCTACATAGTAATCTTTTGTGAGTAAATGTAAGTTAATCCATTCATTTATTTCATCAACAACAAAATCTCGCTCTTTGAGTCAAGATTTCGTTCGTTTTCGACAGTATAGTTCGCTCGAAAAAACATGTTTATGGCAACA